AACGGCCCTGTGAAATAGATATTTTTATTTTCCTCACTTTACAAATGGGAAAATTGTAGTACAGAGAGTTTAAATATTCCAGGGGCGCCTGGGTGGCTTAGTCGGTTAAGCTGGGCTGACAGCTCAGAGCCTGGAGCCTGCTTCGGATTCTGGGTCTCCCTCTCTCTCTGCCCCTCCCTCACTCGTGCTCTGTCTGGCTCTCTCTCTCAAAAATAAATAAATGTTATAAATAAATAAATAAATAAATAAATAAATAAATAAATAAATAAATATTCTACCAGAGGTCACACAGCTAAGGAAGGGATATTTCTCCCCTAATCCACTCCTGGCCACACCCCCTGTCCAGCATGTCCCTCATGTTCCCATAGGTGCCTTGTAAAGCCTTCTATTGGCACCGAGGGCGCTATATTTAAGTTATCTGCTATACACCCGCTTCCCCTGGTGGACTGCTTGTTCTCTGTTTTACTCATATGCGTTTCCTCCACACAGTGGGTTCTCAGTGAATGTTAGCTGAAGGATATAACGATCCACACATCCCAGATACAGCCATTCTGAGCTCCTGACCATTGTCAGAAATACCTTGCTCTTTCTTGCTCTTATCTCAGTCTATAACGCTTTTTTCCTCCTATCTTTTTCTATTTGGTAGACTCCTTTCCTCACCTGTCACCTCAAGGCCTCCCTCACCTGTCACCTTCTCTGTGAAGCCTTCCCCAACTATCCAGGCAGAGTATCCTGCTTTGACTTCCAGATGTCTCTGACCTCTGTAAACACCTCAGCTACAGCTCACCCCTAGGCTATCAGGGGGCTGTTTTTGTGCACATGTCTGTCTTCCCCCATTGTCTAGGGGGCATTTTACTTCTCTCTGCATCCCCTGATGACTAAGAGGCCCAGCAGGTGTGCACTGAACAAATGACAGATGGATGGGAGCATAAACTGCACACCCCCCTTTGCCATTTTCCACAAGGAACTTTCCAGCAAAGGAAAGTTTGTTGCCCCTCCTGCCAAACTACCCAGTAAACTGGCATTAGAGGGGTCCCTTGCTGACATGATAGGTAAAGTAGCTATATAGCCCTCCTTTCCTTTCAATTATCTTCCTCTATCCAGGCTGTATGTGGGCACTTCCCATATCAGGGAGACAGGGACCAGGAGGCCTACTTTCTTTCCTCCAAGGTCACATCTTAGGGGAATGGAATTACTGCCCTTGGAAGGAGGAGCCCTGACACAGCCCACCCAAGATGGGGCCCTGGAGGCCTACTCTCCTTGGCCCTGAACTTGGGAGCCAGGCCCTGCCATGCCTCAACCTCTTCCCTGCCCCACCATCATAGATACCCTGAACTTCAGGCTGGAAGAGATCTCAGAGAACATGAGATCCAGAGCACCAAACGCACAAGGGGATTGGGGAGGGATGCACCCAATGGAGCAAATGGTCTTGGGCCTGCCCCGAGAGTTTTCCCACACACCCCAGAAGACATGGCAAAGAATGGAACATTCTTTAGTCCTGTGTCATGGCTTCCACTCAGGCCTTTACCATGTCCCACGTGGACCGTCGCAGTAATTAGTCTTTCTTCCACCAATACATCCTCCACACAACCAGAAAGCGATCCAATTATCAAAGTTAATTTTATTTATTTATTTATTCTTAAAGTTTATTTATTTATTTATTTTTAAAGTTTTGATTTCATGACCTGAGTTGAAATCAGGAGTTGGACGCTTAACCAACTGAGCCACCCAGGAGCCCCTCAAAGCTAATTTTAAAACCCGTAATCTACCAGTCACTAAATCAAGTCTCGATTCTTACATGGTATACAAGACGAAAAGGATCAGGTCCCTTTCCACTTTCCACTTTAACCATGGCCTGTGCTACTACTCCTCCATTCTATCGTCTAGGAGAAGCCAAAGCTTCTCATGCTCCCTTGCTCTTGTACATACTCCGCTTCTCCACCTGATGAACTCGGCCTTGAAGACCCAGCACAGATGTCACTTCTTGGTAAAGTCTTCCCTGATAGCCTGGAAAAGTTAGTGTATCAGGTAAAAATGCTCCCAGCTGAAAGCATGGAAAACGCAAGCAAAGGAATGATTCTATCCCTCAGTTGCCAGTAGAGTCATCTAAGGAGCTTTTAAAAGTCCCTGTCCACTGGACACATGCCAGACCAATTAAATCAGAATCTCTGTGGTGGGCACAGGCACTGGTAGGTTTCAAAACCTCCCATAGTCTAATGTGAAGCGAAGTTGAAAAGCACTGAAGCAGGGGTTTATTTTCTCACAGAGTGAAAGTAGCTGGCGGTTGCTAGTGTTGGTTGAGTGGCTCAGTGATATTCAGGCCTATTTCTCAGTGATGCTCTTGACCCTTCCTTTCTGCTTTGTTGCCTCAGGGTCACAGGATAGCTGTGGTTGATCCTCCCTGTTCAAAGCAGGGAGAAAACCGCAGGGAGAAAGGGAGGGTTTAGTCCATCCTCTTTTACAAACAAATCAAAGACTGTCCCAGAAACCCCTTCAGCAGACTTCCCCCTAGATGCTATTGATCAAAACTGCACCACCCCCACCCCTGGCCACAAAGGAGGCTGGGAAAATGGGCAAAGGGATTTCTGATAGACCGAGAGGACCAATCAGGCTCTATCAGGAGGAACTACTCCCAAACCAGCAGGCGTTATCAAGGAAGGAAATAACGCATGGATATTGAAGGGTGGCAGAATGACGCCACCCCCAAATATGCCACTTTGACATTAGGATTATTTTGAGCTCAATTCACATAAAAAAACAACAGATGGCAAGAAGGGCATTCTAATCTCCCCCCCTTTTCCCCTGAAAACAGGAGACAAAACTCCCAAGTGAAAGATGCCCTCCTGTATAGGGAGAAAAGGAACATTCAATAGGGAGTCAAAGCTGAGACAATTCTGTACAAACAGAACTTGTTAAAAAAATAATTTTTATCTTTCTCTAGCCTCCCCATATATTTTAGTTACTTGTCCACAATTCCCTCTCTTTATTCAACCTAGTAGAGAAGTATTTGCAATTTGCCACCTCTTTGGGTCTTCATTTCCTATCAAGGGCTCCTGTGTCTCATAATGCTTACATAAATGTGTGTTTTTCTCCTCTTGATCTGTGTTAGAGTTCAACTCTCAGGCCCAGCTGAAAAGCTCTAAGAGGGAAGAGGGGAAATGTCACCTCCCCTACAATACCGAGTTGACAGACAGCAGATTCTTTCAGTGTTATTTATTCTCTCTCTGGGCTTTAAAGCTCCTCGTACACACGTCAGTTATGACACACATCACATTAATACATTGGAGGCATGTATCAACAAGCCCATATTTACTTCCAGACTGGCAGTTCTCAGCTCAGGCTGCACATTAGAAATGCCTGGGGAGCTTTTTTCTTTTTTTTTTTTTTTTAAGTTTATTTATTTGTTTCGAGAGGGGGATAGGGGCAGAGAGAGAGAGAGAGAGCGAGAATCCCAAGCAGGCTCTGTGCTGTCAGCGCAGTGCCCAGCATGGGGCTTGATCCCAGGAAAGGTGAGATCATGACCTGAGCTGAAATCAAGAGTGAGACGCTTTGGGGCACCTGGGTGGCTCAGTCGGTTAAACGTCTGACTTCAGCTCAGGTCATGATCTCCTGGTCTGTCAGTTCGAGCCCTGCATCAGGCCCTGTGCTGACAGCTCAAAGCCTGGAGCCTGCTTCAGATTCTATGTCTCCCTCTCTCTCTACCTCTCTCTCTCTCTCTCTCTCTTTCAAAAATAAATAAACATTAAAAAATTTTTAAGAAGAGTTAGATGCTTAACCATCGGAACCACCTAGGCACCCCAGAAATGCCTCGGGAGTTTTTGAGTGCCTAGACCCTAGCCACAGAAATCTGAATTTAATTGGTCCTGGCGAAGCCCAAGCACAACTAATTTGTAAGAGACCTCCAAGTGGTTCTGATGTGCAGGCTGGGTTAACCACTGCTGAAGTCCCAGCACCTTAAGAGCAGGGTCTGTGTCCCCTTCCATGAGCACAGTTCTTGGAACATGAGGCACACAGGAAATCCTCACTGAACGGATGAATGAGTGGCAGAGAAGAATTTCTGCCCCAACTTTGTCAACCCCCGGCCTACAATGTGCACCGTCTTGTGTGCTTCCCCCTCCCTCTCAGTTCCTTCTCCGCTGAGCACTGCGCTTAGCCACCCTCGACTAACCACATGAATGCTCCAGTTGGACTCTCCTATCTACACACACTGCCCGCTTCTCCCGCAGCTGCTGTGCTGAGCACGCCAGGCCTGCTCTTCCTTGGAAGCTTCCCTAGTCTGAGAAGATCGCTCTATCAACAGCCATGCTCAACTCTTGTGCCTTATTTAGCTAAACTCCTGGCCAGTGTGAGAGAAGAACAGTGTGAGGTAGGATTCCAAATGTCTGCTGTTCCACATTCAGCCACAATCCCAAAACGGACACCCAAGCATTCAGTGGCAGAGTGCCTAACAAGCAACTAACAAGCAATCCACAGACAAAATTCTTGCTTCTCCTGCCCAAGTGTAGAAAATGTGTCTTATCTGATTTCTTGGACAAGTGTGAGTCTGAGAAATGCCCCTGTTGACGTCACAAGAATGAGTCAGTGGTGAATTATCTCCAGAGATGATGTCATCCAATATCGGATTCTGGCCCCCATCACGCTTCTGAAACTGCTTCTTCAAAGGTCACCTCCAGGGCCAGCTTCATGGACATGTGGCCTGTACAGTCCCACGGGGCCCCATGCCCCACACTCAGAAGGGCCCTGCACTTGGTTTTACAATCTGCTGTTGCCATCTTGAAGTTCTCAGTTTTTGAACAAGGGGCCCTATGTTTTCATTTTGCACTGGGCCCTGAAATTGTGTGTCCAGCTCTGGTCATTCATATAGTCTCTTACAAAATCCAGCGAGGTTTTCCTTCTCAGAAGGGTCTCCACAGCATATGACCTTAGTCTCCTTTGTGCAAGTCTCTGTGACACGCTGCTCTCCTGTCCTCTTTTACTGCATTGCGAGAAGGTGCTGTAATGGGATGGCATGGGCTGCAAATGGTGGTTAGGATCAAGAGACCCTGGGAAACGAGCCCTCCCAGACATGAGGGAGACTTAACAGGACCAACTTGGGGGCCCAAGGCTCTAGCAAACAGAGACAACTGGAGTCAGCTCCAACCCAACAAAGAAAATCATCAGGAAAACTTGTACTGACCATATGACTTCAGATGCCTTGAAGAACCCCTTCTAACTCTAGAGGGGCCATCTACCAACCGTGCAGAGAACAAACTAAAACAGGGAGGCCTGCCAATCAGGCAAGAGCGTTGGACACTCTGAGAGGAGCCAGGAGATGAGGTCCTCTGGAGACAGACAAGATTTCCAAGGAAAAGACTGAGGGAAGTTTGTTCACTGTGGAAGAAGGTGGCATAGGACACAGTAAGACAGAAAAGGAGAGTGAGGGAGGGACCGAATTGGGGGAGATGGCTGCTGGAGGCAATGGGTGTGAGATGGGGCCCACCCCAATTCTGCCCCCCAGGCCTGACAAGCAGGGATCCTTCTGCTGGGCCAGGCTGTGGGCAAGCAGCAGAGGTTCTGAGAGGCGGAGTCTCAGCCTGGAGGAAGTCTCAGCTGGGAGAGGAGGGACAGAAGACGACAATGTCAAGGCCTTGGGAGGGGAGCCTGAAGCAGAGAAAGGAATTGGGGCCTGGTCTCCCCATGACAGAGTTCATCAGGGTCCAGGATCTGCCCTGTCTTGGCATCGCCTGGCCAGGCCATGGCTCAGGTATCTGACACCTGGGGCCCGGAGTCACATGCCAGGAAACTCAACACTCTTGGGGCCCAGCCCCCAACTTCCAGCAGCTACGAGCAAACAGGGCTTCTAGAGAAGGAAGCGGTTCTCTAGAGCCGGGCAGCAGGGAGACTACTTCCGGGGAGAGGGAACACAAGAGAAGACTCTCCCACCAACAGGGGTGAGAAGTTGAGAGGAGGAGGGTGGGGGGGAGGAAGAGTAGAGTGGAGAGGACAAAGCTGGGGCAGGCAGGGGGCAGGTGCTCCAGGAAAAGGGGGAGATGGGCACAGAAAGCAGGCATAGTCACCTAGCCTAGGTGAATGCCCTGACATCTGCTCGCTGATCTGTCTTCCTTGTCTCCTTCACCCTAGTGCCAATCTGGCCCTCAGCTGCCTACGGAGCCCACCTGGCAGCCACCCAGGTAGGTTGGTAGAAAAAGACTTTATTCCAATAAGGGAGATCAGTACATGGGCAGAAGCAAAGCCTTAGGAGCTCCCAGACCCAGAGTGACCAACAGGGCCTTGGACCATGGAACTTCATAGATTAGCCCTCCAGAATCAAAGAGACGCTAGAAAAATCTCAGGCCCAGGGGAATCTTTTACCCAAAGGGCCTGAAAAAGGAACCCTAAACCCCAAAGAAGAAGCTAAAGTCGCCCAGGCCTGACAGAACCCCCAAAGGAAGGTCCCCGCCCACAGAGACCCCACAGGGGACCTCCGGAAGAGAGAGCTGGCAGTGGGGAATGGAATTCTTTTGACTCATTCTTCCTTTATGGGGCTTTTCTTCCCCAGATCCTACTGCACTCCAGGACTATGCCAATATTTGGCCATGCTCCTACCAGCCAGTCACCTCCTCTCTCTCCTGCTGGTGCTAGGCACAGGTGGCACGGTGCCCAGCCCCTGGGTGCCTCCTCAGGGCTGCTACGTGGCAGAAGAAGCTGGTGAGAGGACATTCCGCTGCAGCCAGGCAGGCCTGAGTGCTGTGCCCACCGGCATCCCCAACGACACCCGCAAGCTCTACCTGGATGCCAACCAGCTGGCATCAGTGCCAGCTGGAGCCTTCCAGCACCTGCCTGTCCTGGAGGAGCTGGATCTGTCCCATAATGCCCTTGTCCACCTCTCAGGGGCTGCTTTCCAGGGCCTGGCAGGCAGTCTGCGCCACCTTGACCTCTCTGCCAACCAGCTGGCCTCGGTGCCTGTGGAGGCCTTCGTGGGCCTGAAGATCCAAGTGAATCTATCCGCCAACCCATGGCGCTGTGACTGTGCCCTCCAGGAGGTGCTCAGGCAGGTGAGGCTGGCACCGGACACTGGAACAGGCATCGTGTGTGGCCCCGGAGCCCCACCAGACCTCGTGGGGCAAGAGTTCCTGCCGCTGGCAGGGGAGGAAGAGCTGTGTGGGACGGGGCGGGGTGGGGCCCAGCGGAGCACTGATGTAGCCCTGCTGGTCACCATGGGGGGCTGGCTGGTGCTCGTGGTGGCTTATCTGGCGCACTACGTGTGGCAGAACCGGGATGAGACTCGACGTCCCCTCAAGCCGGCCCCCGTGCTGCCCGTGCGCTCTGAGGACTCCTCTACCCTCAGCACAGTGGTCTGAGGACCAGGGCCACTCCTCCAGCCCCATGCCCCACACTCCTACCACCGTGCCCTCTCTTTTCCTCTAACCCTCTGCCTCCTCTACAGCCCCCCATCCCCCAAATTCCTCCCCACTTCCTCCTCTGTCTCCCCTAAACACCTGATCTCTCTCTCTCTCTCTCAATCAACACCATCTTTGGTGACTACTGTGCCTGGTTGTGCTAGACTCAGAGACCCAAACCTCCCGAGTCCACAGGGGGGGGGGGGGGGGGGGGCAACAGAACAGAGGTGGGTGCGGGCAGAACATGGAGGAGGAAGCCTCTGCCTGGCTGTGTGGATGTCTGAACTGACATTTCAAGAATGAAAAGGGCTTTGGGCAGAAGAGGGAGGACCCTAGCGAAAAAGCAGTAAACAAAGTCAAAGAAGATGCAAACAACTTAGAAGATATGGGCACCAAAAAGACCTACCTGGCGGCTGGAATAGAGGATGCAAAGAGGGGCAAGGGGATGGTGGGCCAAGCTGGAGGGGAAGTCAGAAACTGGGGTGCAGACAGATCGAGAAGGACTGTGTGGGCTCCTGCTCTCTTCTCTCCATCTACGGAGAAGCTCCCCCTTACTTCCTGCCTCTCTCTTGACCCCAGGCTCCTCTCCCTGTGTCTTCTCTTGGGGGGCTTCCTGGCTTAGAGTCCTCTGCTTCCTTTTCCAGAGACTCTCCATCTCTCTTCTCTCTCTTTTATACACTGATGGGCTTTCTGAACCCTTTCCCTTGGGGGAAGAGTGGTCTCCTCTATGTCTGAGCTGAAGATGGGTCACCGGGAGTCGGAGGGGGATAGGGACGAGGAGGTCTCCCACCTCCAGAATATCACTGGAAAACTCAATAAAGTCACTTTTATCAAGGCTCCTGATCTCTTCCTTATTGTTCATTTCATTGAATGCACGTGGCTTGACAGTGAGGAGTGGGAAAGTGTTGAGCCCTTTACCACGGCCTCTGCCACCACTTTGGCGGCGTGTGCTCCCGCTGGGTTGGATGCCAACTCCTCTCTCCCCTCCTACCTCCCAGTTCCTGACACCAGAGTCTATCTGCTAGGGATGCCAGGGCCTATGAATTAATGATAATGGAACCAGAATGGAGAATGGGAGGAGGCTAGAGGGAGGACAAACAGGGAGGAGGGAAGGAGGGCAAGGTCCAGGCATCAGTGATCAGCTGGCAGCTTCCAGTCTGTTAGACGGGGCATAGGAAGCAAAGGGAAAGGGAGCTGTTACCCTCCTGGCAATCTCTCATTTCTCTCAGTGGGAATCTGAGCAGGGGTTACAGAGAAACTAGATGTGCTCAAAGTTAATGAAAGAACTCGTGGGGCAGAGGAGACCAAGTTGCCTGAAGAAGGGGGGCCATATGAGATATCCCTATCACCAAATGGGCTTCTCAAGGGACCAAAGGGGTCAACACACCCCCTCCCTTGCCCTCATGCAGCATGATCCACCCATGCAGCCTCCGTGGAGGAAACTGCTGCTTTGGGGAATCTCATGGAAACTCCAACAGAAGCTGAACATAAGAACCACTGAACCACGGTTCCACCCAGCTTGGGGCAGATTCTGGGACAGATGGAGAGGCTGCTCAAGAAGAAGCAAACAGGGGTGCCTGGGTGGCTCAGCCAGTTAAGTGGCCAACTTTGGCTCAGGTCATGATCTCGCAGTCCATGAGTTCGAGCCCTGCTGTGCTGACAGCTCAGAGCCTGGAGCCTGTTTTGGATTCTGTGTGTCTCTCTCTCTGACCCTCCCCTGTTCATGCTCTGTCTCTCTGTGTCTCAAAAATAAATAAATGTTAAAAAAAATTTTTTTTTAAAGAAGCAAAGAGGAATCCACTACCTCCCCAGTCCCTCTGACCCACCCTGATTTCCCTGTCTCCTTTCCAGCATCCCCAGCCCCTTCTCTTGCCATCTCTGAGGCTCCCTCCACCACTCCAAGGCTGAGGTCCCTCATATCATTCAGGAAGTCTCAACCTGACTCATTTCAGAAAAACCTGAGACCCACCCCCCTATCCCCTTTTCTCAGGAGACATGGGCCTCCCCACTTCCAGGGATGCTCAGGGACAGGGAAAGAACTAGAGTGTGGACAGTTTCCAGCTGCAGTTTGACCTCCACCCCAGCCACACCCTGGCCTGGGCCTTGGAATCTTGGCCCAAATCCTATCATACCCTCCATCAGTTTCTCCCCTGCCACTGTCTGTCCCACTCTGCTCACCCACCCGCTCCTGGAATCAGGCTGGGACACATCTCACTGGATCCTGGGAAACAGACTGTGTAGGCCTATGGGAGTGGGAGCCTGGGGGACAGGTGGGGCCCCGAGTCTCTATTATCTGTGTCCATCTCTGGAGCCTCATTTGACTTCCTGTCATCCCAAGCAGCAGAAACGACACCTTTAAGATCTGCAGAGTTGGTTCCCCTGCCCAGACACCTAACCCCAATTCTCAGAGTTGAGCACAGATGGGAAAGGATCCAGGGAGGGAAACTTTGCCTGGAACCCAAGTGAGGAAGGGTCCTAGAGCCCTGGAAAGTGTCATCTTGGTAGTTATCCCATGGCCCCTTCTGGCTCAAATTCCTTTCCCTCTTGCGTTCTAGGGCAGGAGAGGGAGAGGGAGGGCAGTGGGGCAGAAGATGGAGATGGCAGGGGAGATGCTTCATTGGCTCCTCTCCCTAGGGACAGACCCCTTTACCCCCGTCAGCTGGGGTCCCTGAGTCGGAAATTGGTGGGAGGGGGGCATCAGAAGCTATAGCTTCAGCTCAGCACATTATAGGACGCTGGACAGAGTGGGGCCTCCACAGACTCAGAGATGCTCCCTCCCAGAGCAACAATCACTGAAGCCCTCAGCCTTTCCCTCTGCACTCTGGCCTCTGAGTTGTGCTTGTCCACCAGGCAGGCAGCAAGGGGTAAGATAACTGGTTTCTCCCCCATTCTTATCTCCACTGGGGACCAAAGATCATAGGACCCATGTTCTGAGATGCCAAGTAGGCAGCTGGCCGGTTTCATTTTTGCTGTCTGCTTCTCACACTTCTGGCTGGTACAGATGCACTCCATCAAGACCAACCTCTCCTACCGGGACACGCGGGAGCCAGCAACGAAGCTGCCAGGTGCCAAGAGAGCCCAGCCACACACCTGGTCCAGAAGAACCCGGGAGGTCTGGGGCAGGACCCAGCTTAGCACCCACATGCAGCATCCTGGAGCCAGCAGGCTGTATGTAGGTGTGGGAGAAGAGGAGTCCCTCGCTCACCTCTTCCAAAACCAATTTCTTCCTGCCCTGCAGAGCAGAAGCCTGGGGCGGCCCTGAGGGAGCTCCCGGTCTGAGGGGGAGAGACAGGAACCTAACTCTTGGGGAACACCCAGGCTTATGGAAGAAATAGGGTCTTTTCTCTCTGGGGAGCTCTGAAGCTGGGGAGACCAAGACCTACCCCAGACACAGAGACTTGAGCATCTACAAAGCCACGTTATCTACAAAAGGAAGTGAACAGAGAGCAGACTGAGTACCCAGGAGCCGAGGGAGGCAGTTAAGGAGCAATGGGTGGGGTGCAGCCCCCACCCTTCCTGTCTTGGACTCACATGCAGACATTTCGAGTGCAACACTGAGCTCTCCTACAGAGGGGAGGGCATATCCGCATCAAAACCAGAAGCAACCCAACAGCTTATTCCAAGGGGAGGGCTGTGCCTCCCCCATTAGACCCAGGGGAGTTCCGACTACAAACAGTTTTACCTCATCTTGCTGGGTCTTTGTCACCAGCAAGCTTGCTGCCTATGAGCAACGGCTCCCCCAAATCAGGAAGGCAGAGCGAGGCCTTGAGCTCCCAAAACAGATGCCAAGACAAGCCCATTCATGCATTCGACAAACGTTTATTGAGTTACTATGACATGCCAGGCACTGCAGATACAAAGATGAGGACGTCATGGTATCCACATTTGGGGGTCTGACAGGCTAGTGATAGCAGCCCGGGTGATAGTGGCAGGCACAGGGGTCATGTGAGCCCAGAGGGGCATTGAAAGCAAACACTAAAGTTCAAGCCCATCTCTCTTGGACACCACAGCCCTTTGGATGGGTGAAGATGGCTCTGGTGTCTCCAATACTTCGAGTTAGCACATTACGGTACTTCTCAGTTTTTGTCTCTCTCTCCTCATTCCAGGTCTACTGCTACCATACGCCCACACATCTCCAAGTCCCTGGAATCTAGCTTATCTGCTCCCCGTCACAATACTCATTTCTGCACTCCGGGCCATCACTATCTTCCTCTTCTAGAATGCTAAACAAACAAACAAACAAACAAACAAACAAACAAAACCTTTGCATCCCATACTCAAATGAATGTCTGAGGTCAGCTCTCAATTCCCATTCACTTTTGGGGTCAGGGACAATTTTATCATGCAGAGGCAGACCATCAAGGAAGTTTCTTGCAAGGGATGTGTGGGAACAAGCACAAGAGCATGTATGTCCTCTAGAACCAAGAAAACACTGCGAAGTGACGTAGGGAAGCAGGTTGAGGAACCAGGCCAGGGAGAGGAGCAGGCACCCAGGGGCGTGCCCCCGCGAGAGCAGCACCAGCTGTCAGAGCTGGCAGTGATCTTCAGAGAGGGGTGGTGAGTTGCCCAAGGTCATACAAGGAGTCAGGGAAGAAATTAACAGGACTAGAACCTCAGGGCCCCTATCCCTCTGGGACTGACACACACACCCTTCTAAGGGGAAGGGACAAGGGAGGGTAGGGAGAAACAAGGTGGATCCAGGGGTGCAAATGAGGGAGCCGAGGTGGCTAGGAAGAGGGCCCCGCCCACTCAGAGCCGGCCCCGCTCCACCCACCACAAGAGCTGAAGAATCTTTGGGAGCATGACGCAGAACCTGTATGTTCAAGGTGGCCAAGGCTGGGGAGGAGCTGGAGGAAGCCACCCTGGAGGAGGGCAAGGCTGGAGGGGGCATTCCATCCCCCTCCCCACTGCTGTGGGGTTCCAAGCTGGCAATCTCCAAGATGCTTCCCCTGTCCCACCCCCATCCTTGCTCACACTTGCCCCTCTCCTCCCCTCCCACAGCCCTGCACTCTCCCCTGCATCCCTGCCCACCATCAGGGCAACCTACCCTCTTCTCCTCCATACCTGCCTCTCACCTAGTTCCCCTAATAACAGCACCCTCATCTTTTACAACTCCCCTCTTCTCTTTTCTAAAGGTCTGAGGACGTTTCCATCTATTGTCTCACTGGAATCCTGTAAGGAGGGCTACAGTGCATCTGCACTCCCCACCCTGGAGTGTTTGGGAAACTACCTGGGCAAAGTCCAGTGGTGCACCCAGGTTTCCCGGTCTCAGTTGGGCTTTCCTTCCCTGCTACCCTCTGTCCCGTTCCCATCTTCAGCTGTCCCCAACCCTTCGTGGGACTGCTCTATCGCAGCCACTCGTGGTGACGGGGTGTGTCCCTCTGCCCTCTGCAGGATCTTCAGTGCCCACTGGAAGCTAGCGTAAGGAGCTGAGCTCCCGGGCACCCAACACCAGACCAGCCCCGATCATCTTCCCCTGGGGAGGGGTACCTGCGGGAGGGCACGGAACGCCAAGGCTCAGAAGGTGGTCTCTGTGCCTGGGGGCGGGGGACCCGCTGAGTGAAGTCACGTCGAGACTGGTGGAGCGGGATAGGGTCCTGGTCACCACTGTCCTGCACCCTCACTCACCTAGGCCTGAGCCGGGAACACGCGGAGTATCTGGCGCTGCGGGCTGAAGGGGAGGAGGAGCGGCTAGCATTGAAACCCGGAACAGCGGCTGCCCAGCTAAGGAGTGGATGCTGCGGGAGTAGGGGGACCCGGGGGCTGGGCTGGGGCGCTGGGGTTGGGAAGGTGCCTGGGCGGGGCAAGCGCAGTGTGGAGGCCGGGGAGGGGTGACATGGAAGATCTGGAGGAGGCTAGAGTGGTGAGGCCAGACTGTGAGCATAGGGCGCAGGACCGGGACCCGGGTGGGCATCGTGGGGAGCGGGGGGCGGGGCTTAAGATGGTAGGGGCGTGGCTTGGTAGCCTGGGCGGAGCTGAGGAAGCTGGGGCTCTTGTGGGCTGGATGGGGTGACCCGCCCGCCTCTCCAGGGAGATCTCAGCGCACTTGGAGGAAGGCTCCTTTAAGTTGAGGGAGAGACTGGGGCCCTGCCCTGAGGGAGTCTGCTCTCTGTGCAGGGAGAACTCTCCCTCTCCTCAGGAACTTCCCTGTCTTTCCAGCTGTAGGAGTATCTAGCTGATCATTTCCCATACTCTCTGCCTGATGGATGGGGTCCTGCATCTTGGTGACCCAGAGATTCCGGGAGTCCAAGGGGCAGGGCCAGGGTCTCAGTCCTCTGAATGACTGCTGGAGACTTCTAGTCAACTCAACACCATGCTTGCTGGGTACATCCTCTACCTGCTAGGGGCTCTGCTGAGGGGCGGGAGTGGGGTTGGGGGTCCCTCCCTCATGTGACTGACAGGCCTCCTGGCTTAGACCCAGTGGTAACAAGCCAGACCTGCAACGTAATTTACAGATCTCAGTGAAGAATAAAACCTAGAGGAGTTCTTGCTTAAAATGATTAAGAATTATTATTCAAAAGGTGCTTGGGTGGCTCAGTTGGTTAAGCCTCCAATTCTTGATTTCGGCTCAGGTCATGATCTCAGGGTTTGTGAGTTTGAGCCCCCCCAGCAGGCTTGCGCTTACTGCATGGGGCCTGCTTGGGATTCTCTCTGTCCCTCTCTTTCTGCTCCTCCCCTACTTGTGCACTCGCTCTCTCTCTCTCTCTCTCTCTCAAAATAAATAAATAAACTTTAATTAAAACAAAAAAAGAGTTATTCTTCAAGATGGCAACAGGAAAGCATTAAACCAAGCTGGGGTCCTGTGTGACTTCATAGGTTGCATGCCCATGCAACCAAGCTACAAGCAGATCAATCAGGGTCCAACCCCTGTCATTCCCTTCTCCCAAGGAAAAGGCAAAAGGTGTAAGCCCACCTAGCCTCCATTCATTTTTCCCCCAAAGAAAGGAGAATACATATTCTTACAGGGATCTTCTCTCGTTCTCTCCTGGAGGGGAGTGAATCTGCTGCCCCAGCCAACACACACACACACACACACACACACACACACACACACACACACACAGTTAGCCCCCAGAGCTGCCTTACAATCTCCTGCCCACCAAGAGAGGGAGAGAGAACATGCTCATATCTCTCACACCACCTCCTCTCCTTTTCCCTCTTCAGCGTTGAGCGAGGAGCACCAGCCGCTGCTATGTCTGTGCAGAAAGAAGTCCTTTCCTACAGACAGAGCTGGTGAGGGGCCTGGGGATTGCAGGACAGGTGTGAGGGATGACAACTAGGGTAAAATGGAGTTTGAGCACTAGAAGAGATCCGGAAGTTCATGCAGCTCCACCCCCTCCATCACAGATGACCTCTCTGGCCCAGAGAGAGGAAGGTACTTCTCTGGGGCCACACAACAGGCTCCTAGCAGAGCTGTCTATGGAACTCAGGTCTCCAGACTCTTAATCTGTGCCCGCTTCTGCTCAACTCTAGCACTAATGGGCAGAGGGGGTCAAGGGTGGAGTCAGGGGCTAGAACTTAAAATTTTACTGCAGATCACCTCTGAAGCTGGTGGTTCCCCAAATGCAAACCATCCCGTGATGTTTATTCTCTGTTGTGCAGATGGAGAACACTCTGGACCAGAATTTCTTCTAGGGGGTGGTAGGGCTCTTCTGCCCTCACTTCAAACTGCTCAGGGATTTCCTGGCCAGAGCTGAAGGTGACCCATGCCCTGGTGGGACTCTGCAGCCTTGACATACCAGGGATGGACCCCTCTATACCAGAGACCACAATGCCTTGTCACCACTCTGTGCCCTGTATGCCTCTTGTCTTTCAAGTGCTGAAAGGCCTGAACATCCGCTTTCCCCTACTAGGGCTAGGGAAAGCAGAGTGGGGCTCTGCACAGACCCAGGGGAGCTGGTGCAATGGACAGGCACTTCAGCTCCAAGTTCTCTTGGAGCTTGGTTCTCTTGGACCTTCAAAGGCTCCATCTGGCACCCAGTATCTTTTACAAGGATCTGGGGGCTCTGTCTTATCAGGAGGGGCCTAGCAATCACAGCCAAGGAGGAGAGCTTCTCTTCTGTCAACCATGACATGAACAGGAGCACCAACACCTACCCCAGGTGCATCTTGAGGGACTCAGGAAGAGCTGGGGCGCTGGGGGTGATCAGCTGACAGAGGAGGCATCCCTGGATTTGGGCTGGGTGTTGGCAGTGGCCTCCTTGCCCAAACCAACCTCATAGAGGGGTTGGCAGCGGAGGGCTGGGGATGGCGAGGGCTGACACCTTGAAGTTTGACACACTTTTGTAGTTCTTCAGTACAACTTTGGGTTGAGGAAGTGTCACAAGACCCTGAACAATGTCTACTCAGCCAGGAGTTTGGAGGTGTCTTGGGCTCCAAAGCTGATTTGGGAATTTGGGAAAAACCCTCAAAGTATTTTAGGGGATAAGAAAGAATTATGGGGGTTTTACTTTGTTCAGAAAGGAGAATTTATGGAAGTATAGCTCCCAGTCTACAATCTACACCCGAAAACTTCCAACCTCCCATAGGAAATATAAAATACTATGCCTCTGAGGCATGTTCTTCCTGCCCTTCTACCAGAGGGTTACACCTCCATTTCAGCCTGCCTTCCTCCCTAGCCCTTTCACCTCTTTCTACTCAGAGAAGATCTGGCAGTATGTCTGTGCCAGCTTCTTCCCATTCTTGCCAGGATCAGTACCTTCCACCCTTCTGAACTCCACCAGCCTACCTCATCTCTGTCCTCTTTGGCCTCTTCTTGAGAAAATCAACAATAATAAAAGGAAAATGGGTAAGGAAATAACAACCTGTCCCAATGTCTGTATCTGCAATGCACTCTATGGGTCAGAGAGGCATTCAGGTTCCCAGAGAACAGGTGGCTTCCTCCCCTAGGCCAGCTCCCTTCCCTCATCCCCATCTCCTAGCAACTACATGCAAATTACAAGCTTGGTGCCCACAGTAAGGGTGATTATCGCCATTACCTCTGTTGAGTGACCACCAGAGGGAGATAGAGAGCAAAGCCTGCCGCCTAAAACAGCACCAAGCACCACCCAGCCTCCTGTTTTCAGTAAGTCATTTTAAATTCACCTAAAGAGTTCTTACAAATTAGTCTAATTAAATCTCTTCCAGCACAATTTAAATTATATCCCAGATTCCTCTGATTGTAAACCAGGACTCTGAGGAAAAGGAGCCTCTGGAAGAGGCCTGATCCGTAAGACTATGAGGC